CCTGCGGCCTGTGGTGAGGACCATGGTGAAGCAGGATGTCCCCCTGCAGCCCATGGAGCACCACGGTGGAGCAGGGTTCCACGCTGCAGCCCGTGGAGGAGACCACGGTGGAGCAGGTGGCCCTGCACCGATGGAGGCTGCGGCCTGTGGAAGACCCCTGCCGGAGCAGATTCCGGGCCGGACCTGTAGCCCGTGGAGAGGAGACCACGCAGGAGCAGGGGTCTGGCAGGAGCTGCTGCCCGTGGGGGAGCCAGGTTGGAGCAGTTTTCTCCTGAGGGATGGACCCCGTGCTACGGACCCATATCTGGAGCAGCTCTGGAAGAGCTGCTGCCTGTGGGAAGCCGGATCAGTTCGTCAAGGACTGCATCCCGTGGGTGGGACCCCACAGCACAGGGGACGAGAGTGACCGAGAAGGAGCGGCAGAGAAGAAGTGCTGTAGACTGACCCTAACCCCCCTTCCCCCGTTCCCCTGCGCCGCTCGGGGGGAGAGTGGAAGAGGGTGGATGGGGGGGGAAGGTGCTTTTGGTTTCTTTCCTTTGTTTCTCACTTCTCTCGCTTGTTAGTAATGAGCAATAAATCTTACTGTCTCCCTATGCCGAGTCTGTTTTGCCCGTTAAATAATTATTGCATGATTTTCTCGTCCTTATCTCAACCTTTGAGCCCTTTTCACATATTTTCTCCCCATTCCTCTTTGAGGAGGGGGAGTGAGAGAGCGGCTGTGGTGGAGCTCGGCTGCCCACTCGAGCGGAACCACGACACCCACACATCTTTGACATCCTACCCTCACAAGCAATACAGCAGAATGAAGAATGGGACTACAGTCAGTCCGTAACACTTTGTCTCCACCGCTCCTTCATGATTGGTCTCTGTCCCTGCTCGACATAGGGTCCCTCCGAGGGGTCATGGGGTCATGGGGGGGGTCAGAGGTCACGGGGGGGGGCCACTCACCGGGTCCCTTGGCCGTGAGGATGACAGGGGGGCTGAGCACCCAGCAGGTCCTGGAACTGGGCTGGGGGGGCAAAATGGGGGGCATATAAGGGGGGTAAAAGTGGGGGGGGTCCCGTTATTGGGAGGGCATGGGTTTGGGGGGGATTTTGGGGGGGGGCTGAATATTGAGGTGCCCATTTTGGGGCAGTCCCTGATTACTGGGGGGGGCATTGTTGGGGGACTCCCCTCGTTTGGGGCCACTTGGAGAAGATCCCATTATTGGGGGGGATAAATAACGGGGGATACCCATTTTCTGGGGGGGGGGCCCTGATTTGGGGGGGGGGCTCAGGGGCGCTCACCCTCCTCGGGGGGCTGCGGCCCAGGCTCCAGCGCCGCCCATTCCTGGAGAGAAAGGGCCCAAAGGGGGTGGGGGGGCATTGGGGTTGGTGGCGCCTAAATTTTGGGGAGGGGGGGTCACAGGGGTTGGGGGGGCACAGCATGAAGATGGGGACCCCCTCAGGCACGGGGGAGGGGGTTGGGAAGGGGGGGTCCTAAATTTTGGGGGGGGGGTCACAAGGGTGAGGGGGGGTCCCTGTTTACCCTGTGCGCCCACCCAGGCTGGGGAGCGGGGATTTGGGGAGGGCCTTGAGGGGGGTCCCAAGGTTGGAGGTGGTCCTAAATGTGGGGGGAGGGTCCCAAGTTTGAAGGGGGGGGGTCCCATTTTCACCCTGTGCCCCCCCCCCAGATCAGGAGGGGGAGTTGGGGAGGGCTTGGGGGAAGGATGTGGGGGGGTCCAAGGGTTTGGGGGGCATCCCTGGGCTTGGGGGGGTTCCACGGATTTGGGAGGGGCCCACGTTCACCTCGTGCCCCCCCCCAGGCCCGATGATTCCCCTGGCCCGGTTCCTGACGCTGATGTCCCACCTGGTGGCCTGGGCATGGTCACAGGGGCGAGGGTAAGGGATCAAACGCCCCCCCAATAAAAACAGCTCCCCCCCCCGATAAATACCCCCCCCCCCCCCCATGAAAATTAATGGGTTTTTATCCAGCTTTTAATTAATCGCCCGCAGGACACCCACGTCCGCGCCTCACTGCCCGTCGAGTTCTCGGCGGAGGAGTACGCGCGTGTCAACACCGAGACCCCAAAATGGGGGCCTGACCCCCCCCCAAAAGACCCCTGCCCCCCCCCATGGGGACACTGAACCCCCCTCCATGGGGATCCAACACCTCCATGGAGACTCCAAACATCCCCACGTGGTCCCTGACCCCCCCCCCCCAAAGACCCAGACCCCCCCAAAGGGATCCTGACCCCCCCCCCCAAGGACCCCAATACCCTTAAAGGGATTCTGACATCCCCCAAAAACCTCTGTGTCCCCCCCCAAAACCCCATGTACACCCCAAAAAAAAACCCAATCCCCCCCAAACCCCGTGTCCCCCCCAAAAAGACCGTCTCCAAAAACCTCCATGCTCTCCTCAACCCTGTGCCCCCCAAATCCACATGTACCCCAAAGAAATCAATGCCCTTCCCACAAACCCTCTGTGCCCCCCCCAAAAAAACATATCTCCCCCCAAACCCCTGTACCCCTCTAAAGAAAGCATTTCCCCTCAAAAACCTCATTTACCCCCCCAAAAAAAAACAGGTAACCCCCCAAAAAATTCTGTGCCCCCCCCGAATAAACCCTATGTCCACCCCAAAGACCCTGTACTCACCCCCAAAAAAACCCATGTACCTTACCCAAAACTCCCCCCCCCACCCCCAAAAAAAACAACACGGCCTCCACCCCCTCCAGGCTGCTGTGCGCCTGGGGTGGCTGCGGTGCTGCTGGCCATCGAGTTTGGGGGTTTCTTTATGGGGGTGTCCATGTTCCACCGCGGGCAGGGGCTGTTCGTATCCTGCACCCTCGGGGAGGGGGGGGGAGGGGGCGCAAAAAACTGGGGGGGGGGGGGAGACAAAAATGGGGGGTCTCAAGAAATGGGGGGAAAGAAATAATGAGGGAGATGGTGGGGACAATAGGGGGGAAATGTGAAGTTTTGGGGGGGGGTAAAATATGGGGAGGGCATAAAAAACGGGGAGGCTTGAAAATGGGGGGGACACACCAAAATGGGGGGGGACCCTAAAACATTGGAGGGGGAGAATTGGGGGGACCCCTAATTATGGGGGAACACCCCCAAATCCTATGGGCTCCCAAACCAACTTAGGGGGGGACATCCCAAAGTGGGGTGGGGAATGGGGCGGGGGGGCCCCCCCCGAGTTGTTCTCCTTGACCCCCCCAGCGGTGGGGGGCCCACGCAGCGGCCTCCATCACCCTGGCCTGGCCCTGATGGACGGCTGGGACCTGGGGGGCTTCTGGCTGCTCCTGGGGCTCTGCAGGTGGGTGAAACAAGCCGGAAGGGGGGGCCCTAAGATTGGGGATCCCCCCCCAAAAAAAAATAACCCCCCCTTTTCCCCATTTTCTCCCCTTTCCATCCAGTGCCCCCCCTGCCATCACCGAGCTGCTGCTGCTCCCGGCCGCGCTGGGCCGCGGGGGAAGCTGGTGAGCGGGGGGGGGGGGGCCGTGATTTGGGGAGCGGGGGTCCCCGTGGTGCCCCCACCCACCCCCCCCCGACGCGGAGGGCGCCTGAGGCCAGGCCCACCGCACCGAGACCACGCCCCCGACTCGGTCAGCTCGCCGCTCAGCCACGCCTTCATGCAAATGAAGCAGCGGTGCACGCTGGGAGAGCGGCGCGGGGGCGGTTTCTCACAGTTTTAACCGTTTCGCGATCCTTTTTCCCCGTTTTTAGCCCGGCCACCGGTTGTGGGAGTTTCGTTTTGTTGGTACTGAGTTGGGGAAAGAAAAAATAAATAAATGAATAAAGTTGGGTTGTCCGCTGTTTCTTCAATGAGAGTCGCGCAGTGCCTGGTGCCCCACTCTCAAGGCCCTGGGAATCGCTCTTGGGGTATCTCTTCCCCGCGCGCTGCGGTTGTAATGGGGGCAGTCTGCGTCACCATGGGCTTGGTCGTGTCGGAGGGCTGAGATGTGAGCCCCTTTTTGCATGTTCCCGGGGTTTTATAGAGTGGGTGAAAAGAAGACGGGGGGGGAGTCTAAGATTGGAGACCCTCATCGGAAAAGAAGCTTGGGGCGGGGGGGGTCCAAGACTGGAGATCCCTCATTCAAAAAGTTTCGCACCACCCCGCACCCCCTAAAAAAACTAATATATTTTCTCCCCTTTCTATCCAGTGTTCCCCATCCTCTCACCCGCACGGGGCCGCAGGGGAATGCTGTTAGCGGGGGGGGCAAAAATGTTGGGGGGTCAACGTTTTTTGGGGAGGGAGCCTGTTTTGCCCCCTCCCTCCCCCCCCCCCCCCCCCCCAATTCCGTTTTTTTAACCGTTTCGCGATCCTTCTTCCTGTTTTTAGCCCGCCCACCGGTTGTGGGAGTTTCGTTTTATCGGTACTGAGTTGGAAAAAAAAAAAAAGTTGGCTTGTCGCTGTTTCTTCAATGAGAGTTCGCGCAGTGTCTGGGCCCCCACTCCCAAGCCCTCGGGTATCGTCAGTGCGGTACATCCTGACCTGCCCCGCCTCCGGCGGGCAGTGCGTGATGAGCGGAGCGTGATGACGTGTGATTACAGTCACGTGGCGCGGGGCATGCAACACCCCAGTGGGCCCCCTCTGATGGCACGCGCTGCGGGGCAGGCGGGGGCACCGTGAAAGGGCGGGAAAGGCGTTGGCATGCCATGGCATGGCATGGCGTGGCAGTGGGGGGTGCCCTGCTTTGGGGTCCTGAAGAGGATGTGGGGGTTGTTTCCAGGGCGTTGTTTGTTGGTTTTAAGTTTTTTTTTTTTTTCATAGGTATGGAGGGGGTTCCTGGGGGGTGTTTTGGGGCATTCTTGGGAAATTCGGGGTCTAAGGCGCTTGTTTGAGGCTATAGGGAGGTCTTGGAGACTGTTTTGGGAGTTCGGGGGGACTGAGGGGGGTGTTCGGGGGATTCTGTGTGTGGGGGGGGGGGGGGGGGGTGTCCCTGGAGGTGGTTTTGGGGTCTACTGAGGGATTTTGGTGTCTAAGGGGAGCGAAAGAGGGAGAATTTGGGGTCTGGGGGGGTCTTCTGGGGCTGCCTGAGTGGGATTTAGGGGGTGCAAAAACGTTGGGGGGGTGGGCACAGGAAGACTTTTGGGGTACCTCTGCTCCCCTGTCCCCAGGATGGCCTACAAGGAGAACGTGAACCCCGGCTTGTACGGCCTCCTTAAGGTACAACCCCCCCCAAATAAAAACCCTCCTTTTTGGGGTGCCCCAAACCCCCTTCCAATTCCCCCCTTTTATTTTTCCCCAGCAGAATGGGGCCCCGGCCCCCCCCTGCAGCCCAGCGGGTGCCCCTCAAGGACCCCCCCACCACGGGGACCCCCTCCGATGCCCCTCCTGCTGCAGAGAGCCACCGGCCGGCCTCCCCCCGTGCCAGGTATTGGGGTGAAAAGAGGGGAAATTGGGTTAAAAAGGGATGGGGGGGGTCCACAATGTGACTCCCCCTTCCCTCCCCTCCCCCAGCAGCAGGACGCGTCCCTGTGGAGCCCAACACCTTGTTGGCCCCCAGTACCTGCTGGTTAATTCGGGGGGGTCCCAGGGTGGTGGGTGGACACTGGGGGGGGAGGCTGGGTGACAGGGGATTACTGGGGGGTCACTGGAGCTGGGGAGGTGCTGAGGTGACAGCCGCGCAGCCAGCCGCCAGCCTCTAGCGTTGGAGGAAGAAAACGCAAGAAGTAAGAGTTGTGGCGATGCCTGAGGCGGTGCCGTTCACCTGCTTCTCGATCTAACTTGGGAAACAACGCCCTGAAAACCAACCCAAACCCAAACCAGAGGCAAAGCACCACGCCCCGCAGGAGAAAAGCTCTGGGCTGCAGACTTCGGGAGAGGGGAACAAAGCCTGCAGCACATCGCTGGTCCTACAGCAGCACTGCTTGTCCAGTAGGAACCTCCGTTTCTGGTCACCGACCCTAGGCGATCCCAAAACTAACAGCTGGGCACTCAAGCTATTTGGTAAGATAGTGTCGATGTGAAAGAAAAAAAATAATCCCCTTTTCAGGCAGAAGCCAGCTTCGGTTTCAGAAGAGTACAGGCCATGGAGCTTGGATCAGTTCACAGGGGAGAGAAGACAGCGCAGGGAGAGGACAGCCAACTCCAGCAGGAGCTGAGGCCTTTCTGAGCAGAGGCCACAGCCCTCACAGCTCCCCCCCAGCCTCCTCAGGTGTGCAGCAAGCAGCTGACCCATCAGGTTTCCCCCTGATAACCTTCCCCAGTAACAGCAGCACCTTCACTTGCAGCAGCCCACAGCAGTGATGAACGCTGTCCTCCTTCTCCTCCTCTCCAGAAGATGCTCCGCGTGCAGCCCCAGAGACCACGCTCCCAGGGCCGTGTTTGCCTCCAGTGAGTACGTGTATGCGATTTCTTGTCAAGAGACCGTGCCATGCGCTATGCAGATGACAAGAGACTAGCTAGGAGCACCGAGAGCCCAACCCGTTCCACACACACCTCATGAAGTTGAGCTGAGGCTTTTCAATACAGGGAGAATAACGTAGTCAACCCTGTGTTCCTGCAGTCAGGTGAAGAGGAAGGTTCATCTGGGAAGAATATTTAGTCCAAAACAAAAACCAAACCCTTAAACGGAAGGCATCTTCCTATATGTATCGCAGTCAGTATCACGGTTTAGAGGAACTCAAAATCCTTCCGAGAGCCCTTTGAGTCTCACTTATGGGGACTTGGGCTCCGTATGACATGAAACTGCACTGTCTGCATCAGGATAAGAAATAGTTTAAGTCATTAAAGCTATTCAGGATACACACCATTCACTTAATGCCACTGATACCTGATTTCATACCTCACTGCTTGTCGTTTCTGGTCTGTAAAATCCAGTGCTCTGGTAGATGGGAATTCCTATCCCTAGAATAGAAATACTGTTTTCAAATACACCTTTCCCCCCTGTGCCTCCAGAACAGAGAAATGGCAGCAACTGTCTTTAAAAGCAGAAACCTTGCAGCTATGAAACCTACTTGACCTCCAAGGCTTTTGGCTGTGTAGACATTACCTCCCTTACAAATACCTGAACAGGCTACAAGGGAACAGACGGTGAACACAGATGAGATGTGGATTCACTCAGTCCCCCTTTCATGACACAGCGTAAGATGGATTTTGACTCAAAATTGTCCATCGCGTAAGGTCCAAAGCAGCATTTGTAGTACTTTACCAGCAGCACAGCTTTATTTGGGTAAGAGCAGAGCACCTGTAACTTTTGCACAATTACCAGAACTGAGTCTGGAGAAAGCCAGCTTAAGTAGACACCTACCTGCAACTCTTAGCAAAAGTTACAGCTTGTTGGAAGAGGCTCCAGGAAAGGAAGAGGAGAAACTGCATAGCTCAAGTTTAAGTCTTGGCCCCAAGAAGGGGGTTGGGCAAGGTTAGAAGAGGGGAAAAAACAAAAACAAAAACAGCAAAAAGCCATGAACACAGCATTTCTCTAAGTCAACAGAGAATGTGATAATAAAAAAGGCCCACCATTTCCCAGTTTAAGAAAGCACACGGCCAAAATTAGTGTCTGCTATTTGCAGATGGAACCAAACAGGAAAACAAAGGCAATGCCTTACTACAGGTATTCCACAAGTAAACTTAAAAAGTGGGGCAAAACCCAAATCCCGGGAAGACAGATGGAACACCAAATCTCTCATTCTCAACCTGTATTTTATCCTGGACAAGTGAGAACTGAAATCCTTCAGGTTCCTTCAGATCTCTACAGGATCATCCAAGGCCCTACATTGGACACAGCAGTCTAAAGATGCAGAAAAGGCCACTGCCTGAATATTCATCAGTACCAAGAGAAGTTAGGTATCCCATGATATTGCAAGGCTAAGTAGGAACCTAGCTGCATCTTTAAGCAACTCTGTCGGATTTGGCCCCAGGTCCAAGCCACTCAACCCCCTGCGCCCCGATCTGCGCTACTGTAAAAGGAAAAATAATACCTCACAGGCTTGTGAGGCTTACCTGCTTAATGTATGCACAGCTCTTTAGCATTTTCCTCCCATCCCCTCATAGATGTGCTAATCGTCGCATTACTACTATGCCAGGATAATGACTTTAATGTGGTGACTTACAGAAGAAGGCCTCTCAGCAGGGTGATTTTCATCTGAAGGCTCCCGCACCAGGTGCTGCTGGGGGGTTTGAATTTTTGACTGCGTGGCTCAGGGGCCAGATCTTGCAGTAATCTCTTGGCTTCCTGCCCTATCACAACCATATTGTGATACCTTCTCAAGCAAGGAATTTGAAAAAGGCGCTGAAACAACATGAAAGTGAACACAGGACCTTGAAGTTCACTGTTTAAGCCTGAATTTTGAATCTAAAGATTTTTTTATTTTTTTTCTTTAAATGATGTGGTAGGTTAAAATAGCCTTCGTTTATTTGGCTTTTATCATATCCTACTTACTTAGCACAACTAATGACTGACCAATAAAATGAGACGTTTAGAGTCCAACATCAGGTTTAAGATGCTTGTTTCTCACATGTGGTTTATGCCTTTATGAACACTCCAACACACTAAGGATGCTGATGGCAGAAAATCTGTATTTAGCCTGTATTCTGCCCACAATCAAGTGCTTGCAATTGTGGTTTTATAAACACTTGAAATAAGTGATTCATAAGACAATAATAGGATGGGCTTCTCCCAAATGCATTTTGGAGGCCAGCCTAAGTAGCAGCTTATTGTAGAAAAGCACTACCCGCTTCATTACGGAGGCGGTCGATTTAAGCAACTATACAATGAAATAGACACTATTATTTAAAATAGAAATGCATTTTGCTTTTATTGTACAAATTACTAGGAAAAAGCAGTCCTCTGCTTATTCAGTTTCTCTTATTAGATCCATAACATGGTCTACAGAAACATAAAAAAGCTTGCCCAGTGTACCAATAGTAGTGGAATAGTAGTAATTGTAGTAGCAAAATGAAATACATAGTAAAATATAGTAAATGAAGTAGTAAAGAAATTCAATACATGAAGTAAAATGTAGTGAATGAAATAGTAAAATGGAAGTGTAGTAGTAAAATAAAGACATTTGGAATTTAAGGTATCACCTTTCTGACGACTTTACCTATACAAAATTAGTTTAGTACAATGTTCAAACCTTTGACTCATTTCTGCCAAGGATATTCTATTCTACTTCTCAAACTAGAAGCCATTTATCAGCAAGTATCATACTTTTATTTCCCCTCGTTGGTATTTTACAATAGGTACGAACAACAACAGCCCCCCCCCAAATGGAAAAAAAACAAACAAAAACACAACAAAAAGATGTTGTTATGCATCAAGCTTCTACTAATATTTGCCAGCTACCTCATCACTGGACAACTGCATCTGAGTATTTTTGAACTGCATTTAGCGGTAATCAGAGGAGTGCTATTCGTACAACATTGTGTGTGACAGTTAAAACTGCACTTCATAGATTTTTGTATTTTCCATTTTCATGGATTTTTCCTTTTGTGATGTGTTTTGTTAGTTCTGAACTAATTACACGGTAATACAAAGAAACAGAACTCTTTTTAAAGTATTTCCTTTTCTTTGCTGCTTCAAGTCAGGATGCTGATATGATTATGCACTTCTACACTTCTGCTGGTAGATGGTGGTGGTGGGGATTATGACTTACCCTCTCTGATCCAAAGCTGGGAACAGAATGGAAAAAAAAGTTATATTTGCTTCTAGCTTCATCACTCTGTAGGATGGTCCTTGCATTGAATGAGAAAGCTGGGAGGAAAGGAGGTAAGACAACTGCAATAACAAGCAAACATACTAACACTCGAGGTAATTTTCTAAAACAAAAAGCAGAAAACAACTGACAGCAACAGTAACAGCCCAGAGTAGCAATCAGTCTTTTTTTTATCTTCTCATTTCTAGTCTCTGGAGGGAGCATCCAAGATTAAGACTGCACACACCTCCAAAAAGAGTGCTGAAGTACGACACCCCATTGCGACTACTGGTTCTCCAGCTGATTTAGCAGAAGAATGTCCCTTTACAAACCTTCAGCACTTTTACATGTCTTTATTGAAGTCCACAAAGATGTAACTGTGATTTGGATGACTTACACCAATTCCTTTTTTTTGCAACATAGCTAGCATGGTAATCAGACGAAAAACAGATACTAATATTTTGCTGCAGAACTACAAACAACTCTTTAAATGGAGAAAACCTTAAGAGAGAATCACTCACCACAAAGCTGCTGTAGTGAAAGCTCATCAGATCAAGAAGAAACATGCTGATACCCCTTCTAAGTTGCCTGCATTCTTGTAGCTAAGGATTCCTACAATCCTTTTAGCATCCTTATAATCCTTTTTGGGATGAAACTGTTAATAGAAGTAATTATGCCTGAGGAAACAGATCTCAGGCATAAATTGATTAGCACGGTTCAGCTGGAAAATACTTTCCAGACAGTATGTAAAAAGGTCTTTGCTGTCCTGTGGCTGTTACAAAACAAAACAACAAAACAGGTACACCTTAGCAGAAAGTTTTTCATATGAATCTGTACTGCAAAAGATCTTTCTCAACATAGAAATCATGATACTTAATATTAAAAAGGCAAAACCCACCATCGTGATCATTTTAAATACGAGCATGCAACATAAACAATACAGTATTATTTGCTTATGTTTACGTTTGTGAACAGCAGGAAGCAGCTATGACAGCAACTGAACAGCAAGTGAAAACAAAACTAGTAATCAGTAAGTAATAGTTACAACCTTGTGGCAAAAAAGCAGCTTCGAGGAGATTCTGTACAAACTGTCTATACTAGAAACAAAACCTTAATACGCTTTTACATAAGGAGATTTTATTTTTGATTCTAGACTGAAGTGTGTACTGGATGCAAATATTACTGATATGATGAGAAACCAGTAATTTTCATATGAATTCAGCTCAGTTACATATGCTGAATAGAAGCATAATGCGACCAAATTTTCCAAAAAGTATTCAAAGCACTAAAAAAAGTCACTCTTTCTTTGCCATTAACTTAGTTATAAAGAAGAAAAAAACAAACGCAAGCACTGTTATTGCTCCCATTTTTACTAATCTTTTTTCCAAGGTGGGTGCTTTTTCTGGGAATACCGCTTGACTGGGGTCATTCTTCTGTTCATGCTGAAGCAGATGTTCAGTTCATGTTGAAAGTACAACAAAGAAAAAAAGTTAGTGTGAAAAAGGTACAACAAAGAAAAAGAGTTAATGTGAAAGCTTCTGAAGTCTGTGATAAAGCATAAGCCTAGATTCTCAGGACTGAGATACTATTTGTGTGTCCGTGCCCTACTTCAACAGAAATCACTGTGTGCAAGCCTTTATCTTATCTCATGTGCAATGATTCTGTAAGCAATACACACTAGAAAACAAACTGTTTACAAACTGAATTCTTCTGGAGTAAAACATACTAGTAGACACTACAAAAATCAACACCAAAACATTTAAACTCCAATCATCAAATGTTTTAACCAGGACTTCTGCTATTTAATAACTAGAAAAACTGTTTATTAAAACAACAGTTAAACACGTATCTGATTAATTTCAAGGAGTCTTTGAAAGCTCTAAGGGAGAGTGGAAAGTACCATACAAGTGCCTGCTCTAATGCCCACTGAAGTTGAGTGCAGCCTTGTCATGAAGTGAAACACTGGTTAATTCCTGCTTCCCTCCCTTTGTATGTAACACTTGGCAGGCTACCTCATTTACTACTAGACTTTCAAAAATTGAATGCCATATACTTCACGCATACTGAAAGCCAAAATCTTGTGATGCCGAAGCTTAGGAAATACCACTGTGCAGATTTTAAGGGAATTTGTACTAACTTAGTGTCTAAAGGGTTTCTCTGGTTCATTTACATTGACACTTTTCATAATAAAATGTTTCAGTGCTCTAGAAAGCTGAAAATTTAATATTAGAATGCTTCCTATTAGTCTTCCTCAGTCACGTTCATAACACACTACGGTATTTTAGTAGAACAGGAATTACTACATTTTTCAAAATAACCGGACGGCTAACGTTTAATGCCTGTTTAACAGTGGGTGTAGAGACACCCTGCTGCATCTTCGCAGCTATAAAACCTCAAATTCAGATGACAGCAAGTGCAAGTAGCACCTAACTCAGGTCCTCCCGACCCCTCGCAACTGGCCTGCACACGCAGGAGGCAGATCTATACACGCAGTTGACTTCTGCATATGCAAACAAAGGAACATAAAGAGCTAAAAAGTTCTTTGTTAGGACCTCTTAAATGTATTTGGTGCTAAGTGATTTATTAGGAGAAAGCTGTTATATTACATTAAATTTACTTGAACTCCCGGAAATTGCATTAGTAGCATTATACTTAAGGTCCGAGTTCCACATGGCTTCATTCAGTAACAGATTCCTTTCTGACACTGATGCTCCATTTACTCTACCAGAGCAGCCATTCATTTTACTGGCCTGTTACTTAACGTGACCCCACTTGACAAGAGCGTATCATTGTGTTGGTCTGAGAAGGACTGATGTGGTGCTAACATCTAGCCTTGACCTCTCCCACCCTCTTCTTTTGTCACTCTGCAAAGTTATCTGGGATGCCTCCTATTCAATCCATAAAACTGCACTATCTTCCTTGGGAGTCAATAACTCCAAACAAAAGATTCCTTAATTAAGAAGTACTCAGAGTGGTTTATGCCACAGTGGCTGTCCACATGCACAGGAGTACTTCCCACTCAGTTCCTTACTGTGGCAGAAAGAATAAGACTGACCACTCCTTCATTTGGAGACTCCGCACACTGTTCTGTAACATCCTAGATTATGTCACGTTCTGTTATGGAGAGGTGGAAAGAAGCGTACGAGTGGTGGATGCAGTGATCAAACTGAAGAGGCTGAGATAGACCAAGGTACAAAACATTTCACTGATGGCTGTCACGTTCAAGATACTGCAGCCAGGTTTCTGTGTGCAATGGAACGGCCTCACGCTCACCTTCTCCACGAGGTCCTTCAGTCTGGCAACTTCTTCTCCCAACCTTTCAACACTGGAAACCATGTCTCTGCAGACTTCAATGTATCTTTCAGTTGGCGCCCACTGCAGTGCTATCTGTTGAGAGTCAGTTATTTGCCAGAATTACTGCAAATTATAACTTAATGCTGTAGTGGGTTTACGTGGCAAGGCTTTGGTAGCAGGGGGCCATAGGGGTGGTTTCTGTGAGAAAGATCTAGAAGCCGCCCCATGTTTGGGAAGGGCCCCATTGTTTTCCAGATCTGAGCCAATAAGCGATGTTGTTTTGCGCCTCTGTGAGAGCATATTTAAGACAGGGAAAAAACTGCTGCGCCACACAGCAGCCGGGAAAGTCAAGGGAGTGAGAAACAGCCTTGCAGGTGCCAAGGTCAGTGTAGAAGGAGGGGGAGAGGTGCTCCAGGCGCTGGAGCAGAAGTCCCCTGTGGCCTGTGGTGAGGACCATGGTGAAGCAGGATGTCCCCCTGCAGCCCATGGAGTACCACGGTGGAGCAGGGTTTCACGCTGCAGCCCGTGGAGGAGACCACGGTGGAGCAGGTGGCCCTGCACCGATGGAGGCTGCCGCCTGTGGAAGACCCCTGCCGGAGCAGATTCCGGGCCGGACCTGTAGCCCGTGGAGAGGAGACCACGCAGGAGCAGGTGATCTGGCAGGAGCTGCTGCCCGTAGGGGAGCCAGGTTGGAGCAGTTTTCTCCTGAGGGATGGACCCCGTGGTACGGACCCATATCTGGAGCAGTTCTGGAAGAGCTGCTGCCTGTGGGAAGCCCACGCCGGATCAGTTCGTCAAGGACTGCATCCCGTGGGTGGGACCCCACAGCACAGGGGACGAGAGTGACCGAGAAGGAGCGGCAGAGAAGAAGTGCTGTAGACTGACCATAACCCGCATTCCCCCGTTCCCCTGCGCCGCTCGGGGGGAGGAGGTGGAAGAGGGTGGATGGGGGGGGGAGGTGGTTTCTTTCCTTTTTTTCTTTTCTTGGTTTCTTTCCTTTGTTTCTCACTTCTCTAGCTTGTTAGTAATGAGTAATAAATCTTACTGTCTTCTTATGCTGAGTCTGGTTTGCCCGTTACACTAATTATTGCGTGATTTTCTCGTCCTTATCTCAATCCTTGAGCCCCTTTCACATATTTTCTCCCCATTCCTCTTTGAGGAGGGGAGTGAGAGAGTGGCTGTGGTGGAGCTCGGCTGCCCACTCGAGCAGAACCACGACAAATGCTAATTAGTTGATGTAGTATAAAAGGCAGCATCAGAACAAAAATGTAACTTCTTTAATGTTAGGTTTTCATTGTATGATTTATGCATGACTTTGATCTACTACTCTTTCAGCCTTTGTGGGAAGCTTCTGTCACCTGAATTTCCCTATCAGGGGAAACACTGAGTAACAGCTTTACGTTCTTTAATAGGGCAGCTTAACTCTTTGAAATAAGATTTTAAAAATAATTTTACTTTAGAGAAAAAACATTGGACAGCTTTAGAAAACTAACAATGATCAAGACATTTGATTAGTATTCAAATTTTTCATTTTACGGCATAGAATAATGTTATTCCCCAAACTCCAAATCAATTATTTTTTCCCTTTAGTTGAATACCTTGTGAGAATTTTTGAGGAAATGATTATTTACGGTCTGCAGAGGAACATTCAGCTTGCTACACTCTTTATTCAGCTTCTGAAGGAACTTGAGGCATTCGTTTCCACTACCAAAACAAAACCATATTCTATTACTTGTAGAAGGGTATTTCTTTTTGCAAGCTAAAATCATCTGTGCATTTCCAGCATTGGCTAGTAAATGAATCAGACATGCAGTTTCATTATATTAAAAAAAATAAATCTATCCTGTTTAACACGTAATACTACATTTAACATCTTGGCAAGTTACACACTTTGATTGTCTGTTCCCCCGACCCGAAAGGGTAGCAAATCCTGAAGTTACCTGGAATATTCAGCTGCACGCAAAACTGAAAAAGCGTCATCCGAAAGTTTTTGTGAAACAATTCTGTTGACCTCCACTTCTATTTCCTCACTCTCACCAATCCTGTTTTTAATCAACTTAAGAAATTCTGTACCGGAGTATGCCTAATAACCCCAGAACACTGCCTTCCTGTTCACGTGGGCATACAGATCAGTCTTCCAACACCAGGAGCAGAGAGTTTAGTCAACTTCATGCTGAATTATCAATATTCATTACCCAGAGATGACATTTTTGAAAAGGACTGGGGGGGTGTGTGGGGGGGAATAGTAGTATTCTCATGGAGTCATTTAGTCTCCAGCACAGTGAAAAAATGAAGAATCTGTTACTGACTTGGGACCTGGATCTGACAATACTTTCCTTCAAGACTAAAATACCTTACGTTATCTGCTTTGAAGAAAAAAGTATACTTAGTGCTCAAAAGACAGGAAGATCACTGAAAATCAGTTTGATCAGTCTCCGAAGAGTGAAGGAAAGGATATAGAAATTTAAGAGGCTAATTTCAATGCCAAGATTTTAGATCTCCCATGTGAGAGTGACTCGATTCATTTTACTTTACGCGTCAGAAGGAACCCAAAGTGTCAGTTCCAAGGCATGGTGCAAGCCAGAAAGTTGCTGCCATTGACTG